ACTATGCGATAATGCTTTCACACATTCCTTAGTTACATAGGGCTTCTCTCCAGCATGTATTCTTTCATTTGGTTGAATATAGTATGAAGACATAAAAGTTTTCTCACATTGTTTGTACACATATGGACTCCCTACACTATGCTTTCTTTCCTGGATTGGAAAACAACTGGGTGTGCTGGAGGCTTTCACATTTTTCTTACCTAGAAATGTTTTCTCCCCAGGGTGAGTTTGTTCACTAAGATCAGAGTAGGCTTTCTCACATTGCTCAGACTGATGTTGCTTCTCTCTGGTCTTTCTCATTTCATGTTTTTGAAAAGAATGGAGATCACTCCAGTTTTTTCCATATTCATTACATTTACACAGCATCTCTTCCAATCTCAAACATCTGTCTGCATCATTTCTGTAAAGGAAAAAGGACAAAAATAACAATCACAATGAAAAAGGTCTCCATATTAATAATTGATCAGGACAAGTTCGCAGTTGATGCCTGCTAAGAAATTCTGATGATAAGTTGACCTAATGGCCTGGAGCATGCCTCCAAAACCCCCATCCTCATGGGAATGGTTTTCACATGGGAACAGTACTTGGCAAATGTTTGCAAAACACACTATCAAGTTTCATTTTAGGGGATGGGTACATATTTGTGTCATATTGATCATTTTTATATCTTTTCACTCATCACTCCCCCCTTCTCTCCTTATCCTGATCATCTTTCTCATCTCCCAAAAGTCAGCCTTTCTGTTTTCTGTCATCTTTCCCTTATTTTACTCCCTAAACATATTTTTAGTTTCTCATTTAAAATTTATTTCACTTAACTTTATGAGATGGAGTCCCATCTAATTTCATTATTTGGCAAGTGATAGAAATTGTTCTTTTTGGCTTATTATATAGAATAGTTTTTTTAGTGGTGAGAATTAAATGCAGGTCTTAGCAGGGAATTATATTTCCAGCTTCATTGTTTTTTATTCTGAAAGAGATTCTTGTTGGTCATTAATTTGCTTGGGCTTAACTTCAATTTGTCATCTTACAGACTCAGCTTCCCAGACTGAAGGCATTATAAGAATGCACCACCATGCTGAGCCTATCCCACATTTTAATCATCCAGGCACCTGGTGATGGGCATCTAGGCTCTTTCCAGAGCTTGGCTGTTCTGAATTGCTTCCAGGACTTAGATATTGAGAATACCCATGGTGGCCCACTTTTGAACACTGGAATTCATGTATCTCTAAAATATGATCACTTTAACACATTTCAGAATATACCCAGAGAGGTACACTTGGATCCAAAGAAAACATATATTTTTACTTTTTGAGACATCTGTATATTGATTATCATAATGGTTCCATTTTACATTCCCATCAACTATGTGTGAGGCTAATTTCTAAGAGTTTTAAAACATGGACAGCTCAATATTCTGGAGGATATTGTGAAACATCTATTGCAACAACACTAGCAATCATTTGCATTTTGAATACTTCTTCCATGTTAGCAATTTTCTAGATAATGTATGTCTCATATTCACATGCACACATGGATATTTTAAAGATAAGTTCCTGGCAAAGTTCAAAATTTATCCATTTCATATCTGCATATATACAATACTTAAATGCAGTCTCCTACATTACTATGATGTTGATTATGAAATTTTTTATACTAATAGAGCAGATAGTGTCACTTGTTGCATAATATCAGTAACACTTTAGTTTCCTATATTAGAATATTTCTGTATTTGACTGTGACATTATACAAAAGGAACCTCTATGCATCTCTGGAAATTTCTGTGAGATTAAATAAATTGGAACACAGCCTCATTTCTTCAGTTTCCTTGATTGTAATATTTCTGCTTTCACATTTATTCTTGAGGAATGTTCCTTTTTCTTGTGAGTGAAAATTACCTTAGATTTCCTGAACAATCTTTGTATTGCTCCTCCATTTGCTGGTTACCACAAGTTCGTTCTGAATTGTAGACATAGAAATATAACAAGTCACTATATCATTATATAAAAATTAATAGATTCCAGTTAAATACATGGTATAATATAACCAGGCCTGAGACATTCTTCAAATGTTACAACATTCTACTTAATTAACCTACATCACTGAGGTGGTTAATGAACCTACATCACTGAGTTGGTTCATCACTGAACCTACATCACTCATCAGGAGGCTGAGGAAGGATGAGTTGAAGGTCAGTCTGGTCTACTCAGTGAGTATGAGCCCAGCCTGACTGTCTCAGAAAATAAATAAATAATTTTTAAAAGGGAAAGAAAACAACATCACTGAGGAAGGTTGTATAAGTAAGAAAATGATGTTAGCCTTACGTATAGCAGTCATATGCATACATGTTTCCCACATCACATCTATGTAGATCTTCTTTTGGGGTGGATTCAGCAAAGCCCATTCCGCCTCAGTAAAGTTCACAGCTACATCCTCAAAGGTCACAGTCTCCTAAAGAATGACAGGTTTCCAATGGGTCAGATGCACACCCCGAGATATCTCAACTCCATTCATGAAAAGCTGAACTGAAGATGATTCCTTCAAATATTAGTTCCATGTCATGGTCATCAAGCCCATTTATATGTAAATATTTTCACAGTAATTCTGCTGCTAAACTGCAACACATTGCTAAAGTAACAGTGGAATAGTAGCACTGGTTCTCCTTCAGGAACACCCACATTGCACTTGTGCACTGTCTCTAAAACAGAGCTCATAAAGGGAATCTGCAAATCCCAATCCAAAAAAAAA